TGGATGCTAGGAAAGTACACAATAAAGGAACTTGGTATTAATAGCAACTACAGTTCCATTTTTAAGCCTGTAAACTAACATAGTATCTTTCAAATGTAAGGTAACACTTAAGAATATACAGAGGAAATACTTTATGATTTATCCGTGTTTTTTTTTTTTTGTGTGTGTGTGTGTGTGTGTGTGGGGGTGTGGGTGTTTGTGTTGTGTGTGTGTGTGTGTGTGCTAAGTTTATCAGTCAATTTTGAGCCTCTGTACCTGGGTGGGTGTTACTAACAGAACTCAGGCACTCCACCAGAACGGAAAACACTCTTAACTATTTGGTCCTGTTTTCAGACACCACAATTTAATTTTAAATTAAGAAGGTTGCCTATGCAAGAGAAAACAATTTCTTCAATATTATATACATATTAAAACTATAAAATATGCCATCCTTTTATCTACATTAGCCAGGATTTGATTAAGAGCTAGTGATTTATTAAAATAGATAAAAATTATAGTAAAATGAGTAAAAATCACTTAGGGAAAGTCTTCTGGCATCTCTTTGCAATGGTATACCTCACCAGAATGTCCTGTATCAGAACTGCTCTGCTTCTATTTGATCAATAATATGAGCTTTTACAGGTTTTTGAGTTTGGTAGCTAATATCAGATTATATTTGATCACCTATAAAAGACAACTCTCACTTTGTATTTCAGGGACATACAATATATTTAAATACTTGTGAAATTTTGTTCACTGAGATACAGATAAGAAACATAACTTACCCAAAGTTTCACTGTAAAACTGATCCCATTTCTTTTTATTAAATAACTGGAACCAAAAGTCAAAATAAAGCATACATATCATATTTCTTACCCTCTCCATGAATGTCATTTTACCCCCTAGTCCTGACAAAATTATAGGTACATAAGAGGGAGGGACTAGCAATCCTCCACTGTACTTTTCCATTGTATAGCCAGGAGAAAAGCGAAGACTGTATAGAAAAGGGATCTGGAGCAGTTCAGCTATCAACTCCCCACAGGGAGCAATGGCATCCGATAAAAGGACATCAAACTTGGATTTCTGTAGTTTTTTCATCAGTTGTTTGTTTGAAACTGTGTCTTTACAAAGACTTAGATAACTGTCAGAATATCTCTCACACACATTCTGTAGCAAAGGAGAGTGTGATAAACCTGAATCTCTTGGTATCTCATAAATCCATTTATTCACAAACAATAGAAAAACCTCATCCAGATCATCTTTACTGAGAGATGTAGGAAAACTCTCAAACTTCAGGTCAGGTGACTTTTGGGGATCAAGAAAGATGGAAGCTGAAGGTCTCAGAACTGTTACTTCATGACCCCTCTGTGCAAGTTCATCCAGTATAATCTTTAGATTCAGCCAGTGACTGTATTCCATTGGCCACACCAACACATTCCCACCATTCCCAGATCCAAAGAGGCCACTCAGCTGTAGCAGAAGCAGGGCTGCTGTCATTTTCACAGACATCTTGGTTTAAGTTCAGAGCTGTATTTCAAATGGTGATTGCTCAGGTCCTGCAGATATAGACAAGAGTAACAATCAATTAGTTAAAGTGTACTAAATGACCACATTGAACTTGTGAGCTGAATGGAGATAGTAAAAGCAAATATTAATTATTTCATATTGCATACAGGTGTTTAATGTCACATACTTTGTAATGAAGCAAATATAGGAGTCAATGTCCTGTTTGCATAACTCTTCTGTTTCTAAGATATTTGAATAGTAGCAAGAACACTGGTTAGCAAGAGGTTACTCTGAAATTTCTTCTCAACACAGAACCCAAAATGTAATAATTGCACAGCTTATAAGTCTTTTATGGATATCAATATCCAGAATTTTTGTAAGAATGTTGCCTAACATATCCACTTACATATGATTTCTAAAATAGTTTAACAGTGTGCCTAACTTACCTGACTGACAGAAACCTTGGGGGGCAGGTAGGCACATGTATACCTTACACATGTATCTTCGGAAACTGTTGAACACACTGGCCTGAATGATGTCATCAGCTAAGGCAGCCAGGTGGTTCAACTAACCTGTCCACTGGCATGTCATAAACACAATAAATAGTTGAATATCTTGTTATCAGAATCTTAGTCCACAAAGGCCCTGAGAAGTAGGTGAGTACATGCATCTATGCTCCCTCCTTTCATGGAAACACTATGTCCACCATTCCTGAAGTCACTAATCTCTGTAAGATTGCCCATGCAGGTGTTGCATATGGATGTGTGATCTGCCTGTATCTTCTTTTGTGCCCTGAAATTCTGCTGAAGCTAAAAATTATCAAAGCTCTCTAAGAGGCATCATCCAGAGAAATTCCTTGATTATAAAAAGCCAATGTCTCATCACATTGACCAAGTCCTTCACCAAAACCAAATTTTGGTATTATAAATATATTTTGTCCCATGATTTGAAAGGTAGTATCCATCAGCAACCTCTCCAGCATGAACTGTCATTGGTGTTTTTTATTTTAGTCATTCTGACAGGAATAAGATGGTATCTCAGATTTGTTTTGATTTGCATTTCTCTGATGGCTAAGGATGTTGAACACTTTCTTATGTGTCTTTCAGCCTTTTTAGATTCCTCTATTGAGAATTGTCTATTTAGTTCTGTGCCCCACTTTTTAATTAGATTATTTGGTGTTTTTGAGAGTAGCATCTTGATTTCGTTGTAAATTTTGGAGATTATCCCTCTGTTGGATGTGGGGTTGGTGAATATCTTTTCCCATTATGTGGGGTGAGGTTTTGTCTTGTTGATTGTGTCCTTTGCCTTACAGAAGCTTCTCAGTTTCAAGAGGTCCCAATTATTAATTGTAGATCTCAGTGTCTGTGCTAATGTTGTTATGTTCAGGCTCACTTGATGCTGAAAAAGCCTCTGACAAAATCCA